GTCAGTGTTGGTACGGTCAGTGTCGGTACGGTCAGTGTTGGTACTATCAGTGTCTGTACGGTCAGTGTTGGTACTGTCAGTGTCTGTACGGTCAGTGTCAGTACGGTCAGTGTCGGAACGATCAGTGTCTGTACGGTCAGTGTTGGTACTGTCAGTGTCTGTACGGTCAGTGTCTGTACGGTCAGTGTCGGTACGGTCAGTGTCGCTACAGGTCAGTTCGGGTGCTTTTCCATTGACATTCCAGTCCGGTTCCAGTAGGTGTGTTTTGGGCGGTTGGTGGAGGTGATTTTTGTTTTTCGAAAAAGATTTAATGTGCAAAATGAGAGATGGAAACACATTTGCCAAATAAGTTCTGAAATTTTAAAAATATGCTAAAAATTTGAATTAAAATTGGATGGAAACGCAACTGTTGCTGCTACAATTGAAAAAAATGGCACCTCGAATTGTTGTAAAGGCAGCTCAGACGCAACCAGTGACTCCACCCCCTAGCCAATCAGTGATAAACGGTGTTCTGACATCACATTTTGGTGTCGACTGGAACCACTTGGAACCACAACGAAGTAGGTACTAAAAAAGGGCCGGTTCCATGAATCTGGCCTAATGGAAATGGCTTGGAACCGTAACGGCACTACAAGTGGCACTAGTGGAAAAGGGGCATATCATTTTAAATTACTCTGGTTCAGTGTGCGCTCTTTGCATGCTTTGTGTTTGGAAAAAAACTCGGGATGAAATAAAAACATCTTGTTGACTCAGAGGCAGTTGTCTTCTTCAGTTTTTGAAAACAAATGAAAATCAGAAGTTAGTCATGAGATCTGATTGTTTCTGCTTTATCTCATGTTGTTTCAGTTCTTGATCTCAAGCGTGTTTCAGAAACTGACCCACCCACTCACTTTCAGTAAAAAGTGGAAATGGCTCTTTAGTTCTTCACATCAGTTGATATCTTTGTGGTTGTGTTGCAGACTATCAGCCAGACAACAACAGGGGGAGAGTTCAGTGTTCTCCTCTGCGTTAGACATCTGTCCCTCAGGAAGGTTTGTTCACTTTAATAATAACATTTGAAGTCACCGGTTGTGAAAGATAATGACTGGTTAAAAAATTGCTTTATTTGTTTTATACAGAGACGCTAAAGCTCTTTACTCCTGCGAGGCAGAACACAGCCATGAACTGAGTTTTCCACAGGGGGCGCTGTTCTACAACGGTAAGTATTTGTTGTTGTTTTTTTCACGGAGCCTTGGGCAACTGGGTCAAAGTTTACTGTCTGACTGGTTAGATCAGTAATAAGTTGCTTTAAGTTCAAGTAAAACAATAATTCACAGCTTTGTGATTTACATGTACAAATTATTKTAAATTGGGAGTCGTTGCTTGTAAACTTTATGGTCAGTACTTTAATGTTTATAGCTGAGCGGCAGGTCYGAAGAAGACCACTAATAATCTGTGGTGTTTTTAAAGTATGCTGTTTGTGCTAAGTCTGTGGTGTCCAAGAATAAATCCACATTTTCCTGTTTTAATGAACAGAACTGTAAAGTCATCATTCAAGATAAAAACTGATTCATTTGTTCATGAAAGCTGTTGATTTAATTCACTGAATCTAAGTTTATGTTTACAGTCTGCCCGTCTGTGGAACCGGGTTGGCTCCAGGCCACGTACAAAGGCAAAACGGGCCTGATACCTGAAAACTACATCACATACATCTGATGGTACCAGCAGAACACCACTGACACACAGAGATCGAGCTCAAGTCTTCAGGATTATTAACAACGATCGACGACATTCTTTAATTGTGACTCTTCTCACTGACTACTGAGGTGGAATATGAATAATCGACCTACTGTATGAAATCCTGTTAGAGGAAATGACAAACCATAAAGAGGAGGGGATGGTATTTTATTTGATGACTGATTTTACCTTCAGAGTACTTATCGTCTTATTTTATGTCTTTAGTTGTTTTAAAATGTAATCAGGAAACGTGTAGAAGGTACAGTATTTTTTATTAATCCCAATAATTTATGTTTAATGTATCATTGTATTAATTCATTGATCAGAAATGTGTGCCTTTGAATTATATGAACTCCTTTTTTTAGTGTTCTTCCCATCAGCTTTTCTGCTGTCTGAATAAAAAAGTGCTTAAGAAATTAAAATTTGTTCATGTTTATTCAGTCGAATGCAGGTATACTGCATGGCATAAAGCTGAAACAACTGCAGACTCTTTATTGAATTTCTCAACAAAGCAAAACATAAACACATTTCTCCTCTCAGCCATTGAATATAAAACAATTATAGATGCACTGCAGGTGTTTAAAACTCATTTTTTGTTTTAATCGTTGTTATTTAAATAAGATCATAAGGGATGTAGTATCATAAAATCAGTGTGTCGTATTTTTACTGATGCGTTTTCACTTTTTAACGTCAGTCCAAATATTCCTCTAATGTATATGTTTATCAATATGGTGCAAAATGAAGTTTATATTAGAGCAGACAACTTTAAATTAAATGTCCTCATGCATCTCTGCTGTATTTGTATGAACAAAGGCAATCTGATGTCTTAATCTTTATTTTTAAAAAGTTTCTCACATCATGATAATTAAAAAAATATATGTTTTAAAGGGGGACGTGCAAAATCCAGCTTTTTAGCTGTTAAAAACATTTTGTTGTGGAGTCTCTCTTGGAGTCCGGAGTGGACCGATCTGGAAGCCAGAGGGGGCGGAGCTTGAGGCGTTTCAAAGGAACAGTAACAAAACAAGATGCTTTGAGACACACAGCAGAAAAGAGGTTAAAGAGGAGATGTGAAGTTAGAATAAGGAGGAATTCAGACCAAAGCATTGCAGTTCCACTTTATAAAGACCCCCAACTGATTGATTTAAATGTGACAAGGAAGGATTTAAAAGCATGATATGTCTACTTTAATGTTTTTGTCACTATGAGTCAGCTTGATAAAATGTGTTTGTAAATGTCATCACTAATTCAGTGTATTCACTGTACATTCAACAGGTGTAGCCTTTAAATTTTCACACAGAACGACGAGGAAACGGGGCAGCATCACGATAAAGGTGAGCTGATCTCTCCCAGTCGAGCCAACAGTCCATCCAGTGTCTCCATGTTCTGGGATTTTTCCTCCAGCAGCTCATATCGCAGACTGGAGATGTCCTGTTTGATCTCTTTCAGCTCCCCTGGATCCAAACAGACAGGGTCATCGATTAAAAACAACACACTTCAATTATAATTACAACATTGTCTTTCCTGGATAGAATTAAAGGCATCAAGTCCGGCAGATTTTACCCTCAGTGATCTCGTCACTCTCTCTGTCTGCTTGGGCTTTGATGATGTATCGCTTGATCAGGCGCTTCATGATCTTCTGCAATCAGTGACCACAGACATGTTTGGTTGGTACAGTTTATATCATAGAAAAAATAAGTAAACTTATTTTGTTCAACGTGAAGTAATGAATAAAGAACTAAATTGTACCTCATATCTCGATGAACTGTTCGAGCCTCCGTATTCTGACTGTTTGGTCTGGCCGAGCTGGAACATTGAAGTAAATTTACCTGAACATAAGTGTGACTTTTCTGATGTTAAACTCATCTTTAAATCTGTGCTGCAGCACTAAAACCACTGGAAGGCACTGTGAATCTCTGCGTACAAGCTAACAAAATACGACAAACTATGTTTTTTTTTTTGTTCAAACTCTACCTGAGTGAGTTGTGTCCCGGGGTTCTTCTCTTTGTTTCTGTGAACAATCTGCAGCAGCTGAGACTTTATGGCCGTGACCAGTCCCAGCATGGACTTGGGACTGGGAACCAGGTTGAAGGGGACGGGGAGAGTCTGACCCTCCTCGAAGTAAGAGAACCAAAGTTTAGCTCGCGCAAACTTCCACTCGACATCGGCATCATCCTGCAGAAAAAATGTATCAAAAGGTGAGAAACAGTCTTAAAGTGATAACTTTAAAGAAAAAAGCACATCCTAAGCAGTACCACAAAGTGATACTTGAGTAAAAGTACAAGTATCTTGCCAAAAAATTACTTTGGTAAAAGTTAAAGTCTCCTTTAGGAATATTACTTGAGCAAAAGTCTTAAAGTATCTGATTTTTTTTATACTTAAGTATTAAAAGTAAAAGCATTGATTTAAAATGAGCAGTTAGATTTTCTGTAATGACATTTATTAGGAGGTGATCTCCCCTAAAAATGCAGAAATGACTATATTGTATTAAAATAATTAATAAATGTTAAATTTAAGATGCACTAGTCCAGCTGTTTCAGTTTATATACATATATCAAGGGGGGGCCAAACCTTTTCCCCAAAATGAAAATCTATCTGAGGGCTGCAGCCAAATGCAACAATATATAATTCATGAAAAATAAATACTTCTTAAGTACAGTCTTTTTATTTTAATGATTATGTCCTGCTGGAGTGTGACATGATTTGTTTGTACAAACTAATACGGTATCAGAGTTTTACACATTTATAATTCTCATTCAACCACAGTTAAATTCCCTTTGTCTAGGAGGCACAATTTATACGGATAGTATTTATTTTTAACAATAACAAGCTGGAATAAAAACAAGCAAAATGAAATAAAAGTAACGACTTTCTACTTCTTGTCTTTTTTAAAAATGTAAGGAGTAGAAAGTACAGAWAATTGTATGAAACTGTAAGAAGTAGAAGTAAAAAGTAGGCTGAAAAATAATTACTCAAGTACAGATACCTAAAAATTCAACTTAAGTACAGTAAAGAAGTATTTGTACTTAGCTACTTTACAACTCTGATCCTAAGTCAGCTTTAATGTGGGTGTGGGGGGGGGTTCAAAAAGTGTGTGAGAAGATCTGAACAAATGGGAACAGGTGCAATAATTCAAACGAAGCAATTTTCCCATCTTGTGTTTTTATTTGTTTATTTATTTCTGCCTTTATAACTCTTGATCTGCTCTCCGTGTGTCATTGCTGTCGATCTCCCAGCTGCACTCACTCAGTAATCACCCCTCCCAGCATCTGTTTCCTCACTCATTTGTGTTGCTCAATTTAAGCACGTTTGCTGGAATAAACATCCAATGCTGGATTGAAGGCCATGTGTAAAGGTTTTATTTACCAAGAAAAGAAACTAATAGGTTTTTTAATAATTACTGGTCTCTGTGAGGGTGGTCGACCAAAGGTTTGTTAAATTTACAGAACAATTCCCAGCCGCACCTCGATCTCCTGGAAGGAGCTGTTAATCATGGCGATGAGCATGTTGAGCAGCACTATAACCATGGTCACGTTGTACACCCCGTAGAGCACGTAACCGATGTTCTCGATGAACTTGTGCCCGTTGTTGATCACCACAGACCTGACCTCGGACAGTCCAAATATGGCCCAGAACAGCGTCTTAAAGCTCTCCTCGAGGCTGAGTGAAGAAGGAAGAATATGTGTGAGTCTGAGAGAACAGATCATTTGTAGACTCAACGTCAGCTCTTATTATTTTGTATGAACTTTATACGTGTGAATGTGTCAAACAGATGCAGGTGTGCTCGTCTCACGTGGTGAAGGCGTCGTTCTGCTTTGCCCCCAGGTAATAAGAGTACAGGTTGAACATGCCGATCATGAACGCCAGGAACACCAAGAGGAAGATGACCATGAACTTGAAGATGTCTTTCACRGTCCTTCCTAAAGAGATCTGGAGGGGACCGAAGCTCTCGTTGGCGGGGAGAATGTAAGCGATCCGAGAAAAGCTCAGCACCACTGCGATGGCGTAAAGCCCCTCRGAAACGAGCTGAGGATCTGATGGTGTCCAGTCGATACGAGCTAAAAACAGACAAAATATCCTTTAATTATCTGGAACTCCACTATTCATGAAGAGGTCAGATGATGGGGAAAACAGACCTTTCAGAGTAAAGACAAACTTTTAGATCTTACTTCTGGAGGAAGCCCATAGTGAATTTTAAGGTGTGTTTTTGTTTTGTAGTTTTGTAGAAGTTATTCCTTCATATTCAGCATTTTTTTTAATTATTTTGTGAATGTTTAATATGCATTCACACCAATGTTTTTGTGTTTCTCTTCATTTTTCTATCATTCTTCCATTCATTTTTCAGCAAGTATCTCGTTCCTCAATTTTTCTGCTATTTCAAATCAGCTCCTTCATAACATGACTGCTGTGACTTTTGGTAATTTAGCAGTTCATAACTTTTGAGCTATTTAGCTTTTTTCTCATTAAAAATGAAGGGAGGTTTCTTCAACCTTTAAAATAATTAAAACATTTATACATTTTTAATACCCTTTTCACCTTTTGCTGTGGTTCTGCTTTTTTAAACATATTTTGCTCATTGAATTTTTTTTCTCCTGCTATTTTCTGTTACTTTCATCTATTCTTCAACTGAGTTCAGGATTTTTTTGTGCTTCTTTTTGGTAATTTATGTTTTCTTTTCATCTGCTTTCTGCAAATTTTAGCTTTTTATGCCTTTTCAGCTACTGTTTAGCTGTTTTATGCAAATTAGTGCTTTTTTTCAGCTAAATTCACCTTTTGTGGTAATTATTTTTACCCCCCAACTGTGACTTCTTTCTTAAGTAAAAAATGTGCTCCTTCAGCTTCTTTCTGCTACTTTTAGAGCTATTTTTCTGACCAGTTTCAAGCTTTTTCAGCTGCTTTACAACTAATTAGCTTTGTGTGCTTTTTTTTTTTTTTTTTTTTTGTGAGGTCTTGCCAGATAGAGCCAGGGAGCAGCAGGCAGATATGCACTAACGAGGAGTAAACGAGGAACACCTGGAGGAGACAGGTGAGCAAGGGTGGAGCTGGAGAACAGACAGGATGGAAAAACAAAGGAAACAGAACAAATACAGAAGATACCTTTCTCCTTTTTGTGCTCATTTGAACTTTTTTACTCTCCTTTCAGCAAATTATTTCAGCAATAAGCGGTCATTTTTGTAGGAAATGCAAAATCACTGTCAGTAGTCATGATGTGACATTTGTCATCATTTTCTCTTTGTTATTGACTGTTAGTTTGTTCAGATGTGTGAGCCTACCCACCTTTAGTAAAGTAGTCTATGTCTGGAGGCAGCTGGATCAGAGTTTTACAGTGGTTGTATGCATCTATCTGTGGAGACGGTCCCACCAGTGTCTTACAGTGTTTGTAAACATAGTCCTGGGCTAAATTGGCACGTCTCGCTGCAGAGAAGCGGCAYCTGAAGGAGGCAAGGAAAATGGCTAGCATCCCAAAGTCCAGGAAGTTCCACGGTTCCACCAGGTACTCTCCTGGTCCCTGGATCCAGAGCTCCTTCACTTCAGCCCAAATCATACCTGCAGTCGCACAAGTTCAAGATGACATCATCTTTTTTTATTATTATTATTCATTACCATCCTCTGCTCACCTACAACCCATGAAATAATGAGGATCTCCATCCAGGTGAAAGGTGTGGTGGTTTTACGGTAGAGCAGCAGCCGGTCAGATTTGAGCTCTGAACCCTGCTCGTGGTGGGTCATGTTTGGCAGAATGTCAGTGCCTGCGAAACGGTCTGCGGCATTCAGGATCAGCAGGCACAAGAAGATGGTAAAAGATGAAGCATGGGCCACGAACTTCATGAAGGGGCTGCGCATAACTTTTCCCACCTGACAACAACAAAAAGATAAAGTGAATGTGTTACTGTCTAACATGAAACTGTAAAGCAATTGTTCAAATTGGATCATGCATAGAAAATCAATTAAGTTCTCAGTTTGAATGTTTAATTTCACCTCCAAAGACTCCATTTCACTCTGAGCCTGTTTGTGGCTCCYGAAACAACAAAAAGGCTACAAAACAAACCTGTTCACACCCCGGATATGATGTCATAGTAAACAAGGAAGTAGCCTTACACTGCTTGAGTCAGGCACATCTAATGCTTAATAGATATTTGTTGGTTGTTTTACTGTTTAAATAATTACAATCCATCACAAAGCATAAAATAAATATGTATTTAATCAATCAAATAATATCTAACAGTACAATGAATATTAAATTGTTGATTAATATGATATTATAATATTCATACTCTGCTGCAGGGAGTGATCCAGTAAGCTGCAGCCAGTCCCGGCAGTCCGATAACCACACCCAGAACCACCAGCAGCTTGATGGCGGTGGTTTGTTGTCTCAGACCGGGCAGGTTCTCGTACCAGATGCTGAGCAGCTGCTGCTGGCAGTTAGGATGAGCTACYAACTGAAGGACACACAGTGTGGCGGAAGATCAGCACAGTTGGTTAGGAGATATATTTACTATAAGGGTGCATTGAGACAGAAAATTCATGATTCGGTTTGGTTCGATACTTTAGTGTCATGGTTCAGTATTTTTTAATACACAAAGACAAATCTCCATGCCCTTCTTAACTTGTAATTTATTGAAATTAATTATGAACATTTATTTAACCTCAAAAGTACGTTTTTTAAATTAAATGTTGCAAGTTTCTCAGTGGATCTGGGCTCAACAATCCAGCCTAAGTYGAGTAGTCGAACACAGATCCACTGAGTCTTGGAAGCAAAGCATCTTCAGAAGACAAGTTGACAAAAGAAATTAGTTCGATGCAAGTGTGTATTGAACATTGAGAACTGTATTAAATGATTCGATACAGATGCATGTATTGTTGTACCCCTAATATTTACATACATACATTTTTCCTGCTTTTCTCATTGCCTTCTCTCAAAGCACACTGACCTTTTTCAGTTCATACTTGATGGCTAGTTTGAGTCGAGTGAGGGAGGGGCGCTCTGGTAGATTGTAGGTGTCTTCAGTGATGGTTTCTCCATTCAGGATGGCCTCCACTTCTTCTGTGCTGCGGCACAGATCCAGAAGGCCCACTACGTAGTCCTTGCACTGGTTTGACAGGCGACAATAGTCGTTCTACGTAGAAGAGGGATAAAATGTGCAACAATGGTTAAAAAATTGAAACGTGGGCTTTAATCACACYTGATGAGAAGTTTCTGACCTTGAATTCTTTCTCGATATCAGCCAGCGTGGCCAGCTCATTGCTGAGCTCCAGAGCTGCTAGGACTGGGTCCTCGTTGGACAGGGAGAGGTAGGCAGGACTGGCCAGTCCTCTGTAGGCGTTGATCCTCGAGCGCGAGTGACTGAACGAGTCAAACTGCTGATGGTAGTTGCACGAGTCGCAGCCGCAGAAGTAGTCATGAGGCGGATCGATGCGAGCCCCTTTACTCAGGAGGGTGTGAACGATCTCGTACTCCTGGCAGTGAGCTGCAAGTATCACTGGAGTCACATCATGAGAAAACCTGCGAGAGTAACAGACACAAGCTCTTTGTATTTAAGAAAAGCTTTGGACATTACTTCCAACATAAATTGGACCAATTGAAAGAGTAGTAACTAATGTGGTATTACAATGGCATCTGAAGCAAGTAAATGAATTTTATGGGTGTAGTTTGGTTGTAGTGTATTACAGTTCCCACAAGTGGTCAAAGTACAAGAGGTGAACAGGATTTAAGTAGGTTTCTGCAGTTCTGTGCAGTGAATATTACTTTAGCACCAACACCAAGTGTTTAAACACCAGGTTTATTGTGTGTGAAAAATAGTTTTCAGGACATTAGTGCCTACATATGTTTGTCCATCAGCAGCTATTTGAGAAATCGTTGATATTTTAGTGTATTATTGTCAAATGTCTTGTTCAGTTAACCATATTACCTCGTTCCATCTTCATCATAAGCATAGAAGTCATCCATCATGTCCACTTGGCTAGGACTCGCTGTCAGACGATGAGCGTCTTTAAATGAAATGTGACTCAGCAAGGCCTCAGTGATCCGAACGTACCCTTTACCTGCGACACAAACAGAACAAGTCTGGTATTGCCAAKGCACTGCCTATTTGTGTTTAACTCCTCCCTGGAGCCGAGTTCACGACGTCCCGCAGAGCACCCCTCCTCCGAAGCATTGTTGTGAAGTCATGCTGAAGTGGGAGTGTTGGAAATGGTAGGGAGTCTGGGACAGAGGTCAATTTCAAATATTTTAGATAGGCTATGGTGCAAAGTTAAATTTATTGTTGATATATACAGCATTTACATAACTGAAGGTAACATAAAATAGGTATAGAATTGAACAATGTGCCTGGAAAATACATACATAATACCCCCCTTTAAAGGACATGTTTTATACTTTTAAATCCTTCTTTTCACATTTAAATCATTCAGTCGGGGTCTTTATAAAGTCTGAATTCCTCCTTATTGTAACTCCACAAGCCCCTCTTTCACCCCCTTTCRGAGTTGTGTTMCAGATCAACTCGTTCTGAGGCTGTCTCTTAGAATCCAAACGAGGCGCTTCACTCCGCCTCCACTTTCCAGAGCAGTTCGTTCTAGTTTGACAGAGGGGTTTGTTGCTATATAGCTGTGCAGAAACTTTTTATTCACAAATTAGTTAAAACATGTGAACGAGGGACGACTCGTCCATCCAGCCTTACGTGTTGGAGCCCGAGTCTGACCCAGAAACAGAGGAGAGTGAAGACCACCYAAWTGTAGTTGGTAAGTCCAGGCCTGTTTTAGCTGTTCCATCACAAACACTTTGACATAATGGTTCAACAAACCTAGAGAAATAGAGAAAACTGGTATCTGCCCTTTAAGGTTTTGACTTATGGAGAAAGCAATATCATTTTTCAGCTGTTTATCAGCAATTCAATCATAAATGATTGGTAAACATTATTATTATTATTGAAACTCTATGATTTGTTTGATTGTAATATTTTTGTAATATTCTTTCTGCTGCCTTTCATTTATTTATGATTTGTATTTTAATTATATTGAATTTATGTTGTTTTTAATGAAATTAATGAATAAACATTATTATTATTATTATTATTATTATTATTATTATTATTATTTACACATAAATATACACTTACTGATGGCTAAAAGGAGGGCATCACCCACTCTGGCCAAGTCTGCTCTCCCCAGCAGCAGCTCTGTCACCTCCAGATGTTCATTTCCCACAGCCAGCTGCAGTGCGTTCTGTCCCATATAGTCCACAGCGTTGACGTTCAGGTCGGGCACTTGGAGCAGCATACGACGCACCTCTGGTATGTTTCCATATTCAGCCGCCTCCAGGAAGCGCTGCTCCACCTCCGACGGGCTGACAGAGGGGCCAGAGAACATGTAGGCGGGTCCGCGCAGGGCCTGGCGCCGTTTGACCATGCTGCTGAAGCGACACGTGTGCTGCCGCTCAGAGCTGCTGTGTCGGCTGGACACAAACACACACACTACATGTTGACCATATGTTCAGTGACAGATTTATTTCACCATCTATAAACGAAGTTAAAGGAAACTATAAAATTTGCTTTCTAGGAGCCACTTTCTTGAAGTGATCCTGGATAAAACTTCTATAAACTTGAAATTTTTTTTTTTACTTTGGTTGTTTTGTCACTCATTTTCAGTCCCATACCTAACAATTGGATAGGAATATTGTTTTTTTTTTTTAATATATTTTGTTTTGTTTACTGATTTGTTAAGTAGCAAACCAACAAAATATCAATTATTTAAACATAAAAAGTCTACTAAGGTCAAAGGAAGAAACTGTTTTGTTTGGACTCAAAACAAAGAAATTACAAATATATATTTATAAGCTATTAGTTACAAGTAGTCTGTCACAGTTTCTTCTTATATATTTTGTGGAAACACTAAAGATAGACTGAAAATAGCATTTTTAGTGCTAACAAAGGGATTCCTCTGTTAGAGGAAATATGGTCTTATAGTAGATTATAAAAGAAAGGATTAATTTCTCTGATTTTGTGATTCAGGATTTTTTTTTCTTTTTTATCAAACTATCCTTCTGCTGCATTTAGATTTTTTTTTTTTTTTTTTTTTTTTGGAGTGGGGGGGGGCTCATTATTTTCTATTTCGTCCTCCAGTTTTCTCTCTTATTTTTAAACAAACTGCACAATATGCTGTCATGGTCAAGGTCAAGTACAAGGATTAGGCTGAAAAAAATAAAAGTCCAAAGCAAAACTTTGACGGATCGTCTGACAGCCTTCTGACAGAATTGTTGATCAAGACCATTGTAGGTGCTGCTTGGAAGCAAAATAAAAAGAAATTGTGGACATTTTAAACTTTTGCACAGTGTTGTACTTTGGTAATAAAAAGGTGGCAAATTATATAACAAAATCTTCTGCCTTAGTTTGAATTGACGGAATTAAAAGGTTTGAATAATTAACACACAATACAACTATGTGACTAAAAGAAACACTAATGCTTCCACATTTAATCATACAAAAACTTTTTGTCTTCATTTCCAACAATAAATATTTATTATTTTAAGCATATGTTTATGTTAAAACGTGTACTGTAACGATCAAACCTACAGATTAATATGAAGCTGAATTTATCTTAATCAGCTATTATTTTATCTAATTTTACTTGTTTTTTTAATCCTCCTTTATCCACTGATATTGTCTGTAGTTTATGTGTCTTTTCATGACTAAAAGATATGTTGACCTGATCCTCTGAGGGATGCTAAGTTCAAAACTTACCTGAAGCATCTCGCAGCACAACAGTACTCCTCCCCGAAGTCGTCGTGCGTGAGCAGGTTGTCTCTGCTCCTGGCTCTGGAGCTGCTGGCGTCAGCAGCGGGCCGTCCCCTGTAACCGGCTGCCAGCGGTCTGTGGTTCATCCTGAGGGCGATCGACTGCAGAGGGTCAGCTCCTGCTCCGAGTGAACGAGCAATCAACTGCCTGCCTCCTTCACTCTGTCGCCCTACCTCCCACCCAACCCCTCCACCCATCTCTGTTTATTCTGTATCCTTGAGAAAGAATGCATCCTTTTGGGTCCCACTGTCCTTTTACATTTCTGTCTCCGTTGATTCAGCTGCCTCTTTTGTTTTAGTTTCTAAAATTAAGAAGAAAAAATATCACATTTTTTGTGTCTTAGTAGCAGTTAAGCCGTGCTTCGATGCTATAATAATGTCCAGGGTTCAGAGTGCATGTAGAGCTTTTGCATGTGTGCATGCGTGCAGAAATGACTGATGGCTGATGAACTGCAGATGAGATTCCTCAGGGTTTAAGTTCCCAGTAGACCTTACTTCCTGTGCTCTCCCCCCCTCCTATTCAGTGTGGGAAAACACACACACACACATACACACACACATTATTATTTTCAAAGCCATGTGAATTACAGTTGCTGTGGCACCTAAACTTCAGAAGTTAATCCTGTCCGAAGTTGATGACGTTCTGAACTTTTACCAAACTTAGTTTGGTTTTCAGGCTAAATATTATAAAAACACATGACAACATAGAAAATAGTGGCCCACACCACTCATTGACCAAGTAAATATCACAACATTAATAGTTATTAATACCCATTACGTGCAATCTCATGCAACATCTTACATAAACTCTGTTAGCTCTTTAAGTATGTGGTGTGAAAAACTGTCAGCTGCTATCACACCGACTTTTAGCTCAATATCTATAAAATTCACTGATGTATGGCCATTTATATGTAGTGTCAATTAGTTATGGTGGCCATATTGGATTGTGTCATTCTGAAGAAATTTACTGGGATTTGCTTATCTACTGATTTTAAATACACTTTGTGCAGATTTTTTTATTAGGTGAACAGTAATATCTTGTTATAATGTGGTAATTAATGCTTGAATTGATGATTTTATGTTTATCACTTTGCATGCCTGAACACATAACTGAACACATAACACAAACACATAATTGAACCGTAGATCTTCATTAGGATAGAAAATATTGTTTAAGGACATGGCTTTTAGCCGTAGGGGTCCATTCCTGATGACGTGATAAAATAGGTGGAGTCATGTCCTGAAGATTTGGATATATTGATATGACTTTTAGGTTTAAGCCAGTAATTCATGACATATTTTAATGACCCAGGTTTTCATGACATGCTGTTTATCAGCAGATAGAACAAGATTTGCTAACAACAATCATTCTTAGAAATAAATTGTGTTTATCTTTGTGTTTTCCCTTGACCCAGCATTTCCTTAGGGTGAAATCTTGCTTTATTAAGATGACTTAATGGGGTTTGTTAAACAGTATATATGAGGCCTCAACTGCCTCAGAGATGCAGAAACAGAGAGCAGGGGGACAGTCTGATGGCTCTATGTTCTGTTTTCCTGTTGCAATAAAGCTCAGCTGACCATCCCACGGAGTACCTTCATTCTTGGACCACATAGTTCTGTCAGTGGCCATTTTGGTTTGGGTTTGGTCCAAAAATTGACTGATGTCTGCACAATGATTACTTCATTCATTCATGAGATATTTTGTTAACAAACAGTCTGAGCTTTAAACACAGATGTTGCACAATCTGCTAGCTCTTTTAATGTAAGTTGGGGATCAGTCTCAGCTATGGACACACCACATTTTAGCTCCATATTTGCAACATTTTCCTTTTTGTGTTTGCCAAGATGGCTTTTTGTGGCTGCCATCTTTAATTAAGTAAACTCAGAAAGTTAATCTGTTGTAGATATACTCACATTCAATGARTACTTTCCAAATATTTATTAAAATCTATCCAATGGCTCAAGAGATAATTTGCTAATAGACAAACACACACATTGACTCACAGGCAAAAACATAATTGCCTGCCTTCACCTCTCAGCTTGTGGCCACTAATCGTTTAAAAAATTCAAAATCTGTGATGTACAATCCTTTTCGTTCAGACTCTGTCCTCAGAGCAGAACAGAGCCCAATAAACACTGTCAGCCCAAACATACACACTCTTACTGTGTGGGCATAGTGTGTGTTTGTGTGAACAGATCAGACCACACAATGAGCAAAGGTTCCCTACAACGTTATCACCTGAATTATGGAATCGCTATCACTGAAACACAAACAAACAGAAAAGATAGTGCACACTGGTGAGATTAAATAAGCAAAGGGACAGAGACGGGAGATTAAGGCGTCAGTTGATGGTCTGCAGACCAGTGTCCTGGTCTTGTTTTTGAGGTGTTTATAAAATTGCACACCAAACTGCTCAACATGGGAAAAAAGGTCACAAACACTTGGATTTGTTTCAATTATKATCATGATGATGTCCTAACAAGAGCTGAGCACCAATAACAAAGGTGAAAWACTGGTACTTAAATATAAACATCAAAATTTAGCTGCAACATTAAAGATTTAAATTTTGCATTTAGATTTAGGATTTAACATTTACATATATTTTTAACATTTAGTAAAGTTTAGCAAGTTAGTGGAAAATTATTTCACAAGGATTTTACACTCAGTGAGCWAAATAATGAGTGCGTTAATGATATATATTTTTAACATTTTAATTCACTCTTGTCGCTCCATAGAGGGACTTTCTTCAATCTCCTTGGCAGCCTCTTGGCTGAAAAAAATGCTGAGTAATGCTGACTAAACTTTCAGCTTGAGGCTTTTCTCTTTCAGATGCAGCTAAATCAGCCAAAAGCAAAACACAAGGTGTTGCCAACAAGAAGACTGCCAGTTAAAATAAAAAAGAAAAATCAAAAAATGAAGTTTTTTTTTACTACTTTCCAGCTTGAAGCATAGTTGTCTGATTTGTTTACACAGTGTACTGCCAGAGAAATGTGTGCAACATTAAGTAGTTTCGACTGTGATACACATCCAGGAGATATTATCTGCAGCTTTTGGAACATCCTGTCATCGAAAGGATCGTTTCCCCAAGGAAGAAACGTGCTGCTGCAGCTTCTGGAAGCAGAAAGACGGATGAGAGACGCAATAAATCTCAAGTTTCTCAACTTTAACCTCCTCTTTAACTTTAAACTCTCACAAAGAGATCTTTGTCAGCTTGGCCACCTCTCCTAATGGTCTGAATTTTGTTTATTAGACYGTGACCAAAAAAGAAAAGCAAGTTAACCAACATTCAAACAGAAATCTGTGCTATTCACACAARTGAGATCATTTTTCTTCRGTAAACGTCTTTCGACACATAATCATTCTTTTATTTTTGTGCTATTTCAACTATATTAAAACTTTCAGCTCCTTCAGGACATTCCTGCTATGATGTCTGGCATTTCAGCAATTTATACATTTTGGGATATTTAACATTTTCTGCRTTTTTTTAATGAATGGAGCTGCRGTCAACATCCTTAGAACGCATCAAAATGTTCATTAATCTTAACAGCCATAGATGAATAKAGCAACTCTTTTGTTCTGGTTCTGCTTTTACTTCTTTGTGTTCCTACACTTCAGTGTATGAACACACAAGGCGTATACCTTAATAAGACTTGAATTTGAAATGTAAGAAACAAAGCCATACTACAGCCAAGCCAAAATAACAATCATTTATTGAGAATGCAGGTCTGGCCCAGAACCAGGAAAGGCCAACTTATTCAAAACATTACCTCCAGAATCTAGCCCCACCTTAAAATACATAATCTATCTTATGAAAACATATATGTTGTGGTATTTTAAGGCATGTGTTAACAAAATATTATCAAACTTTAATTATAAAAATAGCTAATCACTCAAAATTGATTATCAAAACYTTTCAAAATCACCTAAAAAATCAAACCATTATGTGTAGTGTTTTTAAAAAATCAGCACTAAAGAAATTAACCCCAATAAATTTATTCTCTGCTTTCAACATCATTTAACTTCTTTTATCATTTTAACCGTTTTTAGCAACTTTCTGCTAACATTAGCTTTGATATACTTATTTTTACTTGTTAACTTGAGTTTAATGCTGTTTTCAGCTTCATTCTGCTTTTTTTGTCTCATCATTTAGTTTTTATCTTGCTTGTTTTTTTTGCAAAATTGAGCTAATTTCATGGTGTAGTGGTCTTTTCAGCTTAAGCAAATGTGTTCTTTCGGTTTCTTTCTGTTAATATAAGCTTTTTAAGCTAGTTTTCAGCTATTTTCCATTCAATTTTTTCAGAAAATTTTACATTTCTTTAATAATTTTAGCTTCTTACTGCTTAATTCAGCAAACATGCTTTTTCAATGATTTCAAGGTCACAAACTAAAAGGTCAAAGTCATGTTTATCCTTTCTTCTGCACATTTTACCTTTTGTGTAAATTTCAGCTTTGTTCTTTTTAAAAATATTTGTTTGTAAATTCATCTTTTTTACTTCTTGCATCTATATGGTACATTTTTAAAATATTTTTCTACTGATTTTTCTCTTTTGTTTTCTTACTTTCAGCAGAAGTCAGGTGTTCAAATTTACCTCCCTTTAACAGTTTTTCTGTTAAAACATTTTCAGCTTCTTCAGCAGCTTTCAGTAAATATCTTTCAGCCGTAAGAATTCACACAGCATGTTAGCAGGAAATGCTGTTTCTCTGTTTAAAATTTGTTTTTAGATAAACATTTTAGGTGGGCTGATTTGTCCAATTGAGTCAAATTTCCTCAAAACTTTTGTTAAAGTTGTGTGACTTTCCCTCCAACATTGATCTCCTATATTTTGTTTCTGTATCAGTTATTGGTTGCGATCCTCCTGATCTTCATCGTTACAGATTTGATTGTGTGGGGGACTCCTCTGTGCCTCCAGGTGTCCCACAGGATGCGTGTCCTCCTGCCCTGGTTCTGCTCTGCCTCTTCAGGAGAAGCGTTGAGGTTTGCCAGGCCGCACTGGTTGAACCACCACCCCGTGTGGTTGTGCTGAATGCTGCAGCTCTCCACCAGTGTGCTGTTCCCCAGGGTGCAGAAAGGATTGCAGCCGTCATTGTCCACATCTGAGGCGCTGAATGGAGCCGTGTCCTGGTTCTGCTCCTGGTCGTAGCCACGGAAAGCATCACCTGCACACACGAGAAAGCCACACAACCATGAAGGGCACACACCAGGCAGTTTTCCCCTTCAAGGAAAAGTAAAGAGTGTGAACCTTTTGTCCGTTGTTTTGATTGTCTGTTTTCCTTACCAGCACTGCCTGCATATCTGCCCAGGTGTATTCTGAAGAACTGGGTTTCATCATCGAGGCGGAAGTCATCATACGACGCATAAGAGGTGACATCGTCGTGGGAAACCAGAGCGATGTGAAGCTGGAAGCGAGCATCTTTCTGGTTTACTATGTGGAACACCTTTTGCAGACCCAACCAGTGTTCTCCTACAAGAACAGACAGATAAAACAGGAAACTTTGTCAAGATCAGACTCATAAGGACACAAAGGTAATCTCCAAAGTCTGATGAGTTTGTTAAGTTTGTAATTATATAAARAAGCAAAAGTGATCAGCAGGGGCAGAGCCAGAGGGGTGGCTAAGGAGGTAAGTACCACCCCTAAAGGGGATCTTAGAGTTTGTATTTGCATTTAGATTGTGCTAAAGATTGTTCTATGATACTATTGTACTGTACACTCACTGGCTACTTTATTAGGTACACCTTGCTAGTACCAGGTTGGATCTACTTTTTCCTTCAGAACTGCCTTAATCCTTCGTGGCAGAGATTCAACAAGGTGCTGGAAACATTCCTCAGAGAGTCTGGTCCATGTTAACCTGATAGCATCACACAGTTGATGCAGATTTGTCGGCTGCACATCCATGATGTGAATCTCCTGATCCACCACAACCCAAAGATGCTCTATTGGGTTGAGATCTGGTGACTGTGGAGCCATTCGTGTTCAGTGAACTCATTGTTGTGTTCAAGAAACCAGTCTGAGATGATTCATGCTTTATGACATGGTGCGTTATCCTGCTGGAAGTAACCATCAGAAGATGGGTACACTGTGGTCATAAAGGGATGGACATGGTCAGCAACAATACTCAGGTAGGCTGTGGCGACTAATGGGCCCAAAGTGTGMCAGGAAAATATCCCCCACACCATTGCACCACCACAACAACCTGAACCGTTGATACAAGGCAGGATGGATCCATGCTTTCATGTTGTTGATGCCAAATTCTGACCTTACCATCTGAATGTCGCAGCAGAAATTAAGACCAAACATTTTTCCAATCTTCTATTGTCCAATTTTGGTGAGTCTGTGTGAATTGTAGCCTCAGTTTCTCTGTTCTTAGCTGACAGGAGTGGCACCCGGTGTAGTCTTCTACTGCTGTAGCCAATCTGCCTCAAGGTTGGACATGTTGTGCATTCAGAGATGCTCTTCTGCTAACCTCAGTTGTAACGAGTGGCTATTTGAGATACTGTTGCCGTTCTATCAGCTCGAACGAGTCTGGCCATTTTCCTCTGACCTCTGGCATCAACAAGGCATTTGCGCCCACAGAACTGCTGCTCACTGGATATTTTCTCTTTTTTGGACCATTCTGGTTGTAGGTGAAAATCCCAGTAGATCATCAGTTTCTGAAATACTCAAACCAACCTGTCTGGCACCAACAACCATGCCATGTTTCCTTAAATCATCTTTCTTCCTCATTCTGATGGACGGTTTGAACTGCAGGAGATCGTCTTGGTCATGTCTACATGCCTAAATGCACTGAGTTGCCGCCATGTGATTGGCTGATTAGAAATTAAGTGTTAACGAGCAGTTGGACAGGTGTACCTAATAAAGTGGCTGGTGAGTGTATATTTTAGTTGTGTATGTTTACAAATGGCTAAACTTTAGTCCTTTGAAAAATTAGCATTATAGTTAGCATTAGTAGTTAGCCTAATTTGAAATTAGCGTTGGTAATCAGCATGTGATCATTCTTAGCTACTCCACAACAAATTTCAGCTCATTAAGACTTAAAATGACTGAATTGTAATATTTTAAAGTTTGCTGTGGTGGCCATCTTTTATTAGCCTTTAGAATTCAGTAAATATTGTCTTTGGCTACTTCTACACTAATTATTAGCTTTCTATGTCTAAAATTGACTCAGTGATAACTCGAGGCTAACATTCAGCATGTTTTTTTATAATTCTATGTTATGATCACACAAAACCTCAGCTCGATATTTGTTAAAACAYCTAAATTAAAGCCATTTGAATTAGTTGTGGTTACTATCTTTAAATTTCAAATCCAGAATGCTTTTCTTTATTTGTATGTTCCCAACAAAAAATACATCTTGGCCACCACTGTGCCACCCTTTGCCAAAATAAATCTAGCTCCGCCCCTGGTGATCATGGATGTGTGAATATCTGTTTTTGTTATTGGCTGAATAATGCTTCAAGCTACAAAAGGTTTTTTCAGCAAAAAGACTAGAAAAAGGCCTAAACAAAAGAAAGGCCACAATCTACAACCTGCAAGGTTTCCAAACCCTCCGACATAATCAGCCCAGGGTCGTTTGAAATCATTTAATCCATCGGTTCTCCTCTGCATCACCGTCCAGCCACCTTCCATGTAGTCCATCTCACAGAACACCTGCAGGACACGTCTGTGTTCAGAGACTGATGAGCGACTGTCAAACAAAATGGATAAAGGTTTGTGCACCTCAAAGGAAGAGTCGGTGTCCTCAGGATGGATTATATAAATCCCACTGGGGATCTTTGGGACGACGGAAGTGAGACTATTCTTGATGTCGCTGCAGTCTCTTCCTAATGAAAGCAAACACACAAACTGAAATATTTCCACATAATCGTTTTCATTCAAATATTTATTTATAGTCACTAAAGACTAAAGCAAATACTTGAAACAATCCATGCAACGCCCCAAAAATGTATTTCACAGAACAGAATCAGGTGGCTTATATCCGTTCATCCATCCGTTCATTCATCTAACTATCTATCCATCCATCAATTATTTTCTACTTGTTCTGAAGTTGGGTCATAGGAGGCAGCAGCACATCTGGGATTATTGTTCCCAGGCCAGCTGAAACACAGAGTTGAACTTTTAGAAAGCCTGAAAAACTGTAGACTTTTTAAAAGAATACTAGAAAGTCTAGATGCTTAAAAGAAATATATATATATATATT